CAATGTAGCAACTATGGCGCTACAAGTGTTTCCATATTTTCTGTAAATAAAATGTAAAAAAAAAATTACGTTGCATTTTTCAAAACATTTAAACAAAGAAAATCAAAAAGTTACAGTAAGTACCCCCCTAGGTTTTCCGAAACTGGAACAAATGTAACTTTAATATTTTCTTTTCTGCTGCCAACTAATTGATACCTTTTTTGACTACAATCGTTTTTATTAAAAAGTACATAAACCATAATAAATCTATTCACTTCAAAAACAAAAAAAACTCGTTAAAAATAAAACTGTTAAAGTCATTTTCAAACTAAATTACATACCATAAATGAAATTCGCACATTCATACAAAAAATACTTTAAATTTACAAGCCAAAAGCGCGACCATGCGAGCTCCCGATGAGCTGCAAATTGGCCTCCAGTTTTGGTAGTTTCGGCTTACAATGTTTCGGCAACCGAATGTTTGAAAAATAAAAGAGTACTTGAGAAAAATGTGGCTCGGGGCAAAAACGTAAAACAAATGGAAACAAAAGAAAAGAAAACTTTTCAAAAAATGAAGTGATTTAAAGTCAATATAAATAACTTAATAACAAAATATAAACTGAAGAAAATAAACTGAAACCAAATGAAAGCAAATAAAATACAATAGTATGCAATAAAATAAAATAATATGAAATGAAATGAAATAAAATAAAATAAAATAAAATAAAATAAAATAAAATAAAATAAAATAAAATAAAATAAAATAAAATAAAATAAAATAAAATAAAATAAATTAAATTAAAACTAAATAAAACAAAATGAAATTAGTGAAATAAATTAAAATAAAAAAGGAAAATTAAATAAAATTACTTTAATTAAAAAAATGAAACTTAATTTAAAAATCAAATAATAAATATTAAATAAAATTAAATTAATTAAATAAAAAAAGAAAAAATAAAATAATTAATTAAGAAAAAATAAAGTGAATTGGTGGGTATGCAACTTTCGCTGATGTGGCATTAGATTGATGGAGGTCGCATTTTTAGTTAAACATTTAATTCAAAGAGTAAAAGCATATTGTCATTGATTTAAATCTATCCCCTTGAGAATGTATCATTAAGAAGACTTCTTTTTTATGTATGAAATACAAATTGAAGTTGACTAAACTATTCAATAAGAATATATATTTTTTATACATCAATTTGTAGCACAAGCTATACAACTAAGCGAAAAAACTAGTCGTAAAATAGCCATAAATATAAATAAATATTAGCTGAAAAGCGAAAAGTCATCGAATCAACAACAATTGAGTGTTGTTAAGTGGATTATAGCAGTAAAATACTGACAGACAAATTTGTTGATACTCAAATACTTGACAGCCATTAAACATAATTGACATGCTGAGCTGCCTATGACTATAGCTGTCAGTGGCTATTTTTGCAAGTAATTCAAGTGACAATGTTTGACAGTTTGACTATATGAAAATCAAAATGTTTGATAGTTTAATTTCCAAACCGATTTACACCTGTGTAAGCTTTGCTGTCGCATGTCTCAATCCCGCTTAACAACTGTTATCTCTAAAAGATCATTTTATTAAATTATTTATAAAAATAATTTATGTAAATTGTTTGATTACAAGTAAATAAGTAACACTTTGGTAACCATTAGATTAAAACAAATTACCAACTTTTAAATAAGTTATCAAGTGTAAACCGGATACCATTCAGCGCAAAACGGGTCTCCGCTGGCGCCACAACTATTCACTCAATGAATTTCGTCTGGTTTCAAGAAAAACAATGAAAAAATTAAACTAAATTTATAATAAAAAAACACACTCATACATACACGCACGTCTTGCTAGACTGAAGCGCACAGCGAGACTGCTTGGCGACAGTGACACTTATCACATTGCAACTGATTGCAACTGTATAAATTGCAGTGCGGCGGCGCAGCTCGATTTTGAGGTGTGTCTAAATATTGTACATGACATTCATAAAAAAGTGTCGAGTGGATAGTTAACAGCAGAGGCAGCGGCAGCAGGTTGATAAATGTAGCTATTAACACCTGGTAAATTATATCTGTGAACATACATTCGTACATGCGTACATGCATATTTATGAGTTGTAGTAAGTTTTTTGGTGTAAAGTTGCAACTTTTCTGTGGATTATGATTTGAGCACATTTTTCAAATTTTTTACAACCACTTACAGCTATCATTACGGCTTTTCAAACCCGGGCAAATGGCAATATTTATTGATAAATGTTGTCCATGTGAAAGAATTATTTATTTACACCTGTGTTGGGTAAGTTGTATGTATGTGAGATCTTTAAATTTATTCATTTATGTATATATGTAAGAGGGAAATACTCTCGGCGGTAATTGTTGGTTGGTTGAAGTGGTTGCCGGGCCTCATCTCACTTAGACTAGTAAATGGGCTCATTGTGAAACAACTGAGTGTCCTAATAATCCCCACGTGCTAATTACCAATGTGCGGTGCTTGAAATTCTGAGCATGCGTCGTATCTTTGTCCCCACTATCTCACTACATGTCACTCATAAAGACTTCAATCTTCAAAGTGTGGGAGATTCGCATAGGAAAAGCCTTAAGTTTTAAGGTTCCAATTTCTCTGCCGAATAGATTATGCTCTGTAAGAAGATCAATAGGTTTCATATCTACTTCATTTTAAGCTCAACAAGGTCACATGGTCTTCTGTCCTATTGCGGCCCCATTGTACCTATAGTGAGCTTACAAGCGGAGAACGACAGACCCACACTAGTGGCAAACCCTAATGTCTAAAATTATCTAAGAGGTATTGAGCACAGGGTGCAGCTCACCTAAATATATTCCCTCCTAAACGGCTTAGCAGTCTTTGGAATTTCATAAATTCCCAATAATCCGACTCGAAGGACCATATTCAAGTTTTTAGCGGCGAAGAAAAAGGGGCTCGTGAGTACAAAAGTGAACCAATCTTTAAAAAAGGGCATTTCAGTTTTTTTCAAAAAAGTTTATTATTCACAAAGGGCTCGAGCGAGGTCTGTAATTTTAAGCTCGTTTTTTATCGCTATCTCGACTGCAGCTAATGAAATTTGGTACAAAAGGGTAAAGAAGAACTGCCAAGTAAATTGGAGGTTTATAGGAAATAGGAGGAAAAGACGACAGGACAATACGGTAGTAACAGGCAATTGGCATAAAAGATTAGTTAAACCGCCAAAGCCTAAAATGTTCACATTGAAAAACGAGGACCGTGTTCCTAGTCAAAAAATGCTCACGAGTCATTTTTAATTTTTTATGTTATTTTATTTTCTTTAAATTTTTTTTGCCCAAAAAAATGGAGCCTTCCATAATTGTTCTGTTCAGAAGATTTGTAAAAAAAAAAAGAATTAAAAAGTCACCGCAAGAGCTCAAGGAGTCTCACCTCTTTTGAGGCGTAGAGAAAATCTTCAAACATTTGTAGATATTATACGACAAAATCGTAAATTATTACTAAAGAAAAAAAATAAATAAATAAATAAAAATTCAACTCTATTTTTAAATTAAGATGCAAATTGCAACTATGGCAGAAGGTTCGGCATACCCAATTTGTGGGTTCCCGAGCATAAGAGATTATTTAGTAATCAAAATGCCGATGAGTTAGCTTAGTCAGAAGCATAATCTCATAATGAATCCGAAGCGGTAGGAATACGCTGTCGTGAGAGAACTGTCCACACACACTGTTACGAATTAGATTTTGTATGTAGTGTGCAATGATAGGCCCAGGAAACTATTTAAACACTTACCAACACTATAAAGGGACATTGGTCATTTGATTCGGCCGCATAATAAATTAGATGCGCTCAAGAGCCACACCCATGAACTCAGTGTGAATAAGGAGTCAATGAGTGCCTACCTTACTCACAAATTCAGTAATAGACAACCAAAAACATTTGGTTACAACTCTTTTATTGGATGTCCAATTTAAGTAGTTTCATTGAAAGTACAAAATATTCTGAATCTAGCAATGAAATGGCAACGATAGACTTCTAGAGCTTAATAGGTCCGAAAGTTGAAATCTGCCTTTGTAGTTCTTGTCATGATAGAATTTAAAGCGATATTTATTTACCAAAAGCTAAGGATCTGTAGGCCGCGGTAGTCGAGTGGTTGGCATTGCGTACTGCCATTCGGAAGGCTCAAGTTATAGAAAATTAATTTAAATGAAAAATTAAACTAAATTTTCTAATTGAAATCGCCCCTCGGCAGGGAATTTCGGTCTGAAATATATCATAGCTGCTCATAAAAAACCATCAGCTGTTCGGTCCTGTAGGTCCCTCCATTTGTTGGAAAAACATCAAAACCCAAAATCATAAATTGGAAGAGGACTTCGGCGGAAAATCGCTTCAGCGGTTACAAAGCGCAAAATGTCTTAAGGTTTGACATTTGACACTTGAGATTTGCCAGTTGCTCATGTTGAAAGCTTGACACTGTTTTAATGTCAAAACAAAGCAACCACGTAAGTTGAAGCAAACACCATTACCTGACAGTCGATCTGTCGATCGTAGCTTTTAATTATTTTAAGTCATAACTAAAATTGCGTGATTATTTTTCCTAACCCCGTCCTGTGTTCCACTCAGTTAACATTCGAAAAAAATTTATTTTCTTTTTTATTTAAGCGCGTCTCGAGTTTCCTCAATGCTTTAATTCCTTTTTGTCGCATAACGGGAAATAAATAAGCCGCTCACGTTTATTACTTTCAAAATATTTGTAAATTCTTATCTTCGTATCTACGAATGCATTTCGATTTTATTTAACGGTAACATAATACACAATAAGAGCAGAAAAAACTCATTATCATTTATAGAAATAATTACTTATTTTTGCGCGCCGCCACCAAGTGCCATTTTCCCATAATCGTACAGCTGAAAAGACTTTTCATAATTGATAAACACATTTTAACACTCAACTCACGCGCAACCTGCTTACGCAGTCGGAATGCTTAATTGTTACAATTTATGAATAATTATTTTTTTCTTCTTGGCCATTTTCAGGTATTCCGGCCACATTGACGTATATCAACATGGATCACAGCGCAACTGGTTCGCCAGAGCTGATACCGTACCCCGATTGGCGCAGCAACACAGCTGGCGATTGTGCGAACAGCATCACCACTGCATATCGTATTAGGGCCGACGAATGTGGACGTCTGTGGGTGCTTGACACCGGCACCGTGGGTATCGGCAACACCACCACCAACCCGTGTCCGTACGCTGTGAATGTCTACGACTTGCAGACGAACACGCGCATACGCCACTACGAGCTGCGTGCCGAAGATACTAATGCGAATACTTTTGTGGCCAATATAGCGGTGGATATCGGCAAGTCGTGTGATGATGCCTTCGCTTACTTCTCGGACGAACTCGGTTATGGTTTGATTGTATACTCATGGGAGCAGAACAAGTCATGGCGTTTCTCGGCACACTCGTACTTCTTCCCCGACCCGCTGCGTGGTGACTTCAACATTGCAGGCTTGAATTTCCAATGGGGTGAGGAGGGTATTTTCGGCATGGCACTTTCGCCCATACGCTCCGATGGTTATCGCACAATGTTCTTCAGTCCGCTGGCCAGTCATCGTCAGTTTGCTGTGTCGACACGTATTCTACGCGATGAAAGTCGTGTTGAGGATAGTTATCATGACTTTGTGGCGCTGGACGAACGTGGCCCCAACTCACATACGACCTCGCGTGTGATGAGCGATGATGGTGTTGAACTCTTCAACTTAATTGATCAGAATGCTGTCGGCTGTTGGCATTCGTCCATGCCGTACACATCACAGTTTCACGGTGTTGTGGATCGTGATGATGTGGGTTTGGTCTTCCCTGCCGATATTAAGATTGATGAGAATAAAAATGTTTGGGTACTCTCCGATCGTATGCCTGTCTTCTTGATCACCGAACTTGACTACAACGATGTTAACTTCCGTATCTATACCGCACCACTGAGTAGTTTGATTGAGAACACGGTCTGCGATATCCGTAACAGTGCTTATGGTCCATCGAATTCAGTTGGTAGTACGAGTTTTTATGGCACACCCACGAGCACGAATAATATTTTCGGCCCACAACTAAATCTCGGTGGCAACAAAGTGTACGGTCCACCCAATCCGGTGAGTGTACCAAAGTCGCAGACACGTTTCAACAAGCCATACTTGCCGCCGCTGCCCACCAAACCCACGCTGCAAGCGGATATACCACGCGTGGCGCCACCAAGTCGCAATTATCTGCCACCGCTGATGGGCACCGGTTATAGTACAACACAACGCTCAGATGCAGCCAAAGCTTACGTATTCAATAACGGCCTGTCCTATGAGGCGGGCGTTGGCGGCCCGCATTTGTTCCCTCTTCACTCGGAGGGTTTGAGAAATTACGTTTCGGCCCGCACTTCCGGCTGGTGGTTGGAGCACTGAGCGCGGTTTCTCGCCTACTCGTAGTACGCGCACAGCGTTTTCACTTGTCATCTCTGCATCTTCGCGTAAGCCAAGTTTTCAACCACCTGCCTGGTACCCTTGAGTAATATCAATGTAGCGGATCCCTTCTCCACTGGTAAATAAGTATTTCTATTTAGCATAATTTGTGTGACTTTGTTGTATCTCCGTGTATCTAAATAGCCCGAGGCAAAGCTGCACTTTCGTGGTTAAAGTCTAGCCATTGCTTACTTTTTATTTTGATTGATTTGATTTCTAGCCAAGAATTAAAATTGTAAATACGTAAATACTCATTTTATGATTTTCCATTCATACACATGTACATACAAATTTATGAATAACGGTAATTTGTAGCATAAAGAGTCAGTGTTTTAATTATTAAGATGATCGTTTTGCAAAATGATTTCCAATAAATAAATGAATTAATCGTAAAATCCATTGCGTTTTCTATTAAAGAGTTTACGGAATCCGACAGTAATGGCTGAGGTATTGCAATTTCCCATGACACATAAAAAACCAGATAGTTTCAGTCAATTTTTTTATCAGGTGTACAACTTTGCTTCCGCCGTTTTTCGATAGGTGGCCTTACCGGATGAGGCTGGTTGAAATACATAGATGATAATGCCTTTAAAGTGAGTGTGGACAGTGCCTAACGAATTGCCATCGCCGTTTCACGCTCGAAAATGTACGTTTGTGTGCCTAATTCTCGCCATTTGCGGGAAGTTTTACTTTTCAATGTTTTAATGTTTTAAAAATGGTGATTTCGATGTCGAAGACAAACATGGTGGTGGAAGAGAAAAAACCTTCAAAGATGAACAACTAGAAGCATTGCTTGATGAAGATTCGATTAAAACCGGGTGAAACCATCACAGAAGATCGCTGCCGAATGCAACTGATGCGTCTTAGTCGCGCGCTAAAAGAAAAGCGGCAATATCAATAGCGACATGACAAAGTCATCCTCCAACACGACAATGCTCGGCCTCGCGTGGCAAAAGTGGTCAAAAAGTACCTGGAAACGCTGAAATGGGAAGTCTTGTCCCACCCACCGTATTCCCCAGATATCGCCCCTTCTGACTTCCACTTATTCCTTTCGATGGCACACGGCCTGGCAGATCAACATTTTCAATCCTTCGAAGAATTGGAAAAATGGATTGCTTCATGGATAGCGTCGCCGGGATCCGAAAATTGCCGGAAAGATGGGAGAAAATTGTCGCTAGCGAAGGACAATACTTTGAATAATATTATATATCTGTAAGCACTTTTTCGCAATAAAGCTTTTTATTTTGGAAAATAAAACGGCGGAAGCAAAGTTGTACACCTGATAAATATTAACCATCTTACATAAAAAGTTTTTTTGATTTCAGAAAAAATGAATTTTCAATTTTCTGCAAATAGAGAAATGTATTAAAAAAATGTAAAACCTTTCAATGTAAGCAAAATAGTAAACAAAAGAACACTTACTCATAAAAAACTCAAGGGCTTTGCATTGTATTTTCTGCAATATAATTCAGGCGGCTTAGGATTTTTTTTATAAAAAAAAAAATATTTAGAAACAATATTTTTGAAGTGACCATATCTTGAAGTTAAAATGAAAGTAAAATATAACGTCAAAAAAACTTTTTCAGTCAATCTTATGTTTAGTCAAGCCAAGAATTATAGAATACAAGGTTACGAGAACCGAAGGCGTTACAAAACCAACCTCGCCATATATATACAGTGGGCGGGACTTTATGTATATATTTTAAAAAAAGGAAATTTTTCTTTAAAAAAATATATATGTATGTGTTTGATGTTTAAATATTAGTTATGGGAAATTTTTTTATATAAAGGAAAACTCATATTTTCTTTTGTTACGCCATCGTAGTTACAGATTTGTTGATATTTTACATGTGCAAGGTGCAAGGCGTAGAATGTTTTGATGAAATCATATTTCAGGTCCAGGCCGAATGCTACCAAATTTGAATAAGAGTCTTACACAAAGGTACACTGCGATGGCGTTAATACCTTAGTACCGCAAAAATAAAATGAAATATTTCCTTATGTCATATGCAAATTTTATAAAGGGCGATTATTTAGCATTTTTCTATTTGACATCTTCAGTTTGGTCTATAATTTAACTATGAATCGTCTTACAAATGAACAACGCTTGCAAATTATTGAATATTATCATCAAACTGCGTGCTCTGTTAAGAAAGTTCATCGCTTCGAAGCTCATTTTGGCTTAAATAAGCTTAAATAATGCATCCACAAAAGGTCACTGTTTGGTGCGGTTTATGAGCTTTACTTATTGAGAGGCGAGTTCGGTGAACATTTAATTTTAGGTTCGGGACCGGTCAATTGACGCCTTTAGACTTTTTTGTGGGGCTGTGGTTAATCTAATACCCATACAGACAAGCTCGCTTCAACTGACGCATTAGAGGACAACATTGAAGCACTTATTCGTGAGATACCTGCCGAAATATCGGAAAGAGTATGCCAAAATTGTAGTAAGCAGTTGAACCATTTGAGTCACAGTCACGGTCAACATTTGCATGAAATAATCTTCCAACATTAAATTATATGGACCGTAGTATCGATTCAAGTAAAGATTTCATGCATTTTTATGTTTTTTTTGGAAAACTTTTCTATAGCTCTTAAAAAATCACCTTTCACTATATTAATATTTAACTATCCGATTTTATTAATACCAAAATTTCAAGCTTTCAGCTTAAAAACTTATATCAAAAAATTCATAAAACGGTTAACGAATGTGTTAAAATATCTCAGCTTAGTTTAAATTTTTCTAAAAATATTTAAATAAATCACTCACACTAGTTATTTTTTTTAAACCCACTGCAAAGTTTTTCACCGCTTCGAGTTTTTATACAAGATTTTTTCACATGATAGTTATGGGAATTTACTCTTTCAGGTACAGGTCTCCTGCAGTGGGAAAATATAATTTTTTACACATCATCTCATTCAGAAGGAAAGATCTTCTAACCGATTCGAGTTTTAAGAAAATTTACTTTATTTGCGTTGATCCCTTATTCCTCTTCTCTCATACGCACATTGTTCACTTCCTGGACCTTAGTCCTCACACAAAAGAACCGTTTTATATATTATATATTTTATTACATACTTAACTTCAATATAGAAGTTAGATGGCCAGTTTTTTACAACTAGATCTGATTTATTTCAAAAACGATTCAAAATATTGAGAGTACTATCTATTGAATTTCTCCATGGTGAATGTGAAGAACTTTTTTGTGCCCGTAGTGGCTTTTAATTCAAATGTTCCTAAGGAAATTTAAATGCATTTTCCAAACTATTTGCATATAAAAAAGTTTAAATTTAACAAACTTTAGTCTGACGAGGGAAGTTAAAAAAAAAACTCAATGTAATGCAGGACTCTGTAGATGAATTTGATACTTTTTAATTAAATGACGGTAAGAAGTTAAAGTATTGTGTTGATATTCGATGAGTAAAACAAATTATGATGGAAAGAAATTCGATGATTTTTCGAAAATTATTTAAACAAGGGCAAATGTTTTTCCTACAGACTTTTTTACACAGCCATCAATTAAAAAATTTTGAAATACGAGTTGAATTTCTACTCGAGTTTGCTTAATTTTCACTAATCATATCTCTGGAACGCGTTATTCGACTTTATCATGGTAAAGCTTTTCGAATGAATTAATTTGTGTAAGTTAGCGATCAAAATTTTGCTTTCTATTTGATTTTTTCCCTATTGCGCGTGTTTTTAGTACTTTTACCCCAAGCCAAGCTTAGAAAATTATGTTCATGATGAAGCGTATGTTGTATGTTTTGCCCTCCATTGCCTTGCTTATCTAGCAGAAAATTCATCTAAGGCCTTCAGTCTCATAACGGCGGATAATGCCCGGAAAAAATTCGCACTATGTACCTGAGTCTTGATCTTGGGAAAGAAATTTACTGTACGCAGTCTTTCTTTGGCAAGAAGAATCTCGTGATCGCCTTGAGATGGGGTTTCCTTTTTAAGTTTCAAGTGCTTTAAGTTTTCTGAAAGATGATAGCGTGGGATCAAGATAATCAAATGAGGGTAATCAACGGTATTCCAAATATGGTAGTAAATATAAATACACTTCGATTCAGTTAACGCTTCTTTCAACAACGTCATAGGTAGAGATTAGACAAAGACCTGTTATTATTGCGATATTTTTTATTTCATGTATAAAAATTTATTTTCTTATATATATTATACATGAAGATTAGTTGGCGGTTCATAACTACTGAAGCAATTTACTTGCATAACGCGTTTATTTTGGTATCGTTATTGAATATTCAAACCCAACTCATCTTGTAACCACAAAGGAACTTCATATACCGTATATATCGTTGCATATATCAAGGCGATTCAATGAAGGAGAGAAAATGAACTGTACTTCCGTTTATAATCCAATTTCACAGCATGCTTTTGGGCATACGCCTTAGGTATGAGTTAAATTAACATACTTATGTATGTACATATATACATATTTACTAAAAAAAAAATATACTAGATTTAAATGAAGTTAAACAATAAAATAAAAATAAAAGATATAAAATCAAATAAAAGAATTACATATAAAGAAATAAAGCAATATAAAATAAAATCAAATAATAAATAAAATTATTAATTTGAAATAAAATAAAAAAAAATTTAAATAAATTTAAAAAAGAAATGAACAAAAAATCAAATAATGTATAATAATAAAAAATTAAATTAAATCGAACAATTTAAAAAAATAATTAAAATAAAAAAATTACATAAAATAAAATAAAATAAATTAAAATTAAATAAATAAATTAAATTAAATAGGAAGAATTACGCAAAATAAAAAAATATTAAATAAAAAAATTAAAAAAGACAGAAATAAAATAAAAGATCATAAAATAAAATAAATTACTACAAAATGAAATGAATAAAAATTAAACAAAATATAAGAATTAAATAATATAAAATAAATCACAGTAAAGTAAAATAATATAAACCAAAATAAAAAATGAATATAAAATAAAATTAAATCAAATAAAATAAAATAAATTAAAATAAAATAAATTAAAATAAAGTAAAATAAATTAAAACAAAATAAAATGAAATAAATTAAACTAAAATGAAATAAAATTGATTAAAGTAAAAAAATAACATAAAATAAAATAAAAAATAACACAAAACAAAATAAAAAAGAAAAACTAAATTTAAATTAAATAAATTAAACAAAATAAAAAAATATTAAATAGAAAAAAATTAAAAAAATGAAAATGAAAACGAAATATAGAA